TCTAGCACTTCACTTGTTCTCCTGTAAAGCATCCTCTAACTCTCTTTATCTCCTCAATGTCATGATGAGATCAAAAGAACCAAAATACATTAAAAAGACTATTTCTGAATCTCCAGATCTTTGCTTTAGCAGCGCAAAGAAGGACATCGTTGTTCAAGCACATTTCACATGATGCTGCCAGTTCTGTAAGTTATAGTTAAAGGAGATACTGCACAATCAGGGTGATACTGCACTGCGTGGGGACCTAAAGCTCAGGCAGACCACAGGCAGCAGAGCACAACAGCTGCCTGTCAGTCTTTCCATAGTCGGTAATAGCCTTACTTCCCTCAGGAGGGAGCACTGAGTGGGACTGCTCGAGCACATCGAAAAGGGGAGCTACATAGACACACATCCAGAGTGCTATTCTTAATAATAACACATTTCGTAGTGCTTAAGTGCTTTTATCTGTAATTTCACATGACTTTTTATTCAGGTATACGCTGGGAGGAACCGCAGAGATGGCAAAAGCTGCAAAAGGAGCAAAGCGTGCTGGTGCATGACTGGCAATGTTAATTTAAAGATTCGAGGCAATACAAACATGTGAACCACACATCCCCTAAGGATAAGCGCCCCCTTCTCACGCTTAACGGGGGTAAAATAAAATGACATCTAATTCAACTCCGTTCAAAGTCTTCCTGTGGTGACGACGTGCCCCGCGGAGCTCCTCGTGCACCCATGTGGCTTGCATCTCTGGATTGTGTGATTCACTCTCCTTCTCAGCTGCTTCGTGCTGTCCGGGAGTCGTGGCTGGTGTTGATAATTAGGGGAAGAAAGATAAAGTGGTCCAAGGGTACCAAAGGATTTTAATTAAGCCATTTAGAGTTGTTGTTTTTCTTTAAAAACAGATGTAGCGTTCAGGAGCGCTTGTAAACCACAGCTCTATCTCATATCAGATCTATAGATCCCTGTGTAGTCCAGAGATGCCTGGTTGCTGCTGAGCATCCTGCCAAAGAGGCTTTTAATGGGACAGCAGCAGTGGAGACTCTTTGTCTCACCAGCCCTGAAGGCTGTGCGCTATAACAGTACGGGAATGCTTCAAACTGGATGCAGCATAAGGAGCAGGGACAAAGGATGTCGTGGGTATAAACAATTAATCTTAAATCTTCTTCAAAATGAGTTTATCATTTACACAGAGAATATTTTACAATCAAAGGCCACGAGCCGTCCCGGGCGCCGTCTCCACCTGTCGTGTCGACAGAAATTCAGTCAGGACATGGTATCTGGAATTTGGAAAAACACTTGTATGGGTGCTTTGGTGACGCTAGATCAGACCACCATCTGCTAGGAAGAAGCAATAAAAAGGAACGTCTTTAATTTCACTCTCTGCTGGAATAATTAGGCCATTTATATTCCGCACTTCATGATTTAAGAGAGGAGCAAGGGAAAAGTCGATACTGGGACTATACAGGCAGCAGCATTTCAGCCATCAGCTTGTCCAAGTCACTTTGCCCGTTTGATTTATGTGTGGCCTTGCTACATGACTTCACTAGGTAGCACCACTGTAATATGTCCCACTCCCTGCCATTAATCCCTCCCCTCGATAACCCCAACATGTAAGGAAACTCCATCTTAAATCACGTGCCGTCACCTGGCTCCTGTGCCGAGGCGCTGTGAACATGCCTTCAATGCTCTCTGTGAAGCATATCCCAGACTTACCGACCCCCTCTGAGCCCATTATCCCTCACCCTGTGCTGTACAAAGGTAGCAGTGGGGATCACCTGTGCAGAGCACACAGGCTGGCCAGACTGTGGGAGTCATTTTTTTTAGGAGAAGAAGAAAAATAAACAAGCGACTCATTAGCCCAATTTGAGCTGTTATGTAAGGATCTTTAGTCCAGCTCATGAACATTCCTCTCGCTCTGACTCACTTAATTCAGATAACTTGATTACATTTGGGAAACAACGACTTCAAACATTTACACCAACTCTGAACCTGCTTCTTATTCCAAATATGGCAACTCAAATAATCCGATTAACCAACAATGGCGCCTTTTATGAAGCGTACAGTGATTCGGTTCGAGCGCTCTGAACAGTCACGTCTGCTTTCGTCCTCAACTTCAGACCTTTTTCTGACCCAATAATCGGACGTCTGCATGAAAAGATTTGCACTTTACTATATTTCATGTGTTTGACCTTCCAAAAGCAGCACTATTACTTTATACAGCTTCCTTCTCTTGCTCTCCTTTCCCCCCCATTTCCATCTCCGATGTGTCTTTCTTGGTGACTTTACCCAATTGCGTGTGAGCAGTAATTTGTCATGTCCCTCTAAGCGTAGCCAAGATGAGATGGCAGGGGCCCTCGGGCTCTAGCCACTACACTACCTGAACCTCCGACACTTACATAATGGCAGGTTTGGAGAAAGAGCTGGGGGATGGAAGAAAGCTATATACAGCCAGGGAATACACGAGACAAAAGCTCACGGAGATCCTGCAACCGAAGAGGGAAGAGCTGCATTAATCATGACAATACCTTGGGAAGACAACCTCCATTACATCAGAGGAGGCAGACAGCCTCTCGGAGAGGAAAAGGCAGCAGTCAATGCCACTGAATATACCAGGCTGATATTGCTTGAGGGGTTTAAGAAGGAAGGGCTTAGGGCTTCCTGTGCAGGCAGCCCAGCATACTTCCCATGAAATTGGCCCTTGGCATGCACACAGGACATTCGAGACACTCCAGCCTAGCCTCTGACAAGATCAGCTCCTTGGAGAGAAACTTTCGTCATAGAAAAGCTTGAACTTTGCCCAAAAATGTGAAATTTACTGTGCCAGTAAATGATGATAGCATGGGAAAAAGAAGTTCATACGGGACACTAAAAGCCTCACACACGTCAGTCCAGGCTCGGCCACTTGCTTCACGGTGTAGCCCGAAGAGAGTCTTTAATATGCTGGTAATTTTACAAAATGTCAGAAATGTTTTGTCTGAGACGGGTTTGCACATATTATGTAGGGTGAAACTAGACTTGGGCCCTGCTCTGCAACAAGATTGCAGTGACAGCAACATCACAGCTATCGCAAGACACCTTGCATCGGAACTGTGAACAAATCGCTGTTGCAAGGCGATGAGCCTGAAAACCAATTACGCAAGAGCAGACATAAAACGGGGAAAAAAAACCCCGTAAAGTGAACGATAAAAGCCCCTCGCGCGGGCAAAAAGGAGCACGGCTGGGCCGGCAGCGCCTCACAGCTACGCTGCAGAAACGCTGGAGAGCTCTGCTGTAAGGTGATAAAATAAAAAGGGACCACGCTTATAATAGCCCACAAAATCTTCACACATCACAGCGTCACATCTGCACCCACTGGGTATTTGTTGACTGCATTTTGCTCTTCTCCCCCTACATCCATTCCCTCTATAATGCATTTATTTATTTATTTATCTTGCTTCTAAGCGAACAACAGCAGCATCAGCACTTAAGATCTCATCAGTTACCAGGAGACAGGTCACACACGCCATACTGCAGTGTGCGTGTAGAAAACTGGAAAATCTCTCATCTCGCTGCAGGTGCGTCCCACAAGGAATTCTAAGAATGTAGCGCCGAAGGTCGACACCGGCATCACACTGGAGCTAATGTTGTGTGCACCATCCCCACATCTCATTTTAAGACAAGGGTCTCTGAGGGGTAGTTTACAGGAAAAACAGTGGAGGCTGGGTAGAAATAAACAACCGGATCAATAGCTAAACAAATCAATTGCTACCAAACCATCTCCACGTAATGACCACGCATCACCGTCTCCAATACCTGGCGTGTACTACAGTTGGGAGACTGGCAAAACTATTTCCCACAGCCGGACGTTTTTGTGCCTTTGCAGCAAAATAAGAGCAACGCACATCTGCATTTACAAGGATATCAGGATATCGGCTCTATTAAACCCTGCCTGATTTTCTTCCTCTCTCGCTCTTTTGTCCTCTTTGTCATTCATGAATCAAGGCCGTCCTAGCCACTCCCCCTGTTGTTCTATGTCCTCTACAGGGAAGGGAGGAAAGACGGGCAAAGACAGGGGAGCAGCTGTGAATTTTAGCATCCTGCTGACTGATGCTGATGAAGATGATGCTCTGGGGAGGGTCAGTTTTGGCATGGCGGGATACACATGCTCCTCTGGCCTCTGGACCTAGAAAAACAAAGCCTCACAATACCAAAGCCTGACCAGCTCATCTGGCCACAATCATAGCAGCTATTTCTTCTGCCTTAATTAGAGTACCCTTCCCCATGGTACCGTCAGGCTATGATTGGAAATCTTATCTAGCCCTCTCAGCCATTACTTAGGCATACATTTTAACAACAGCAGCACTGAATTATGATTAACTAGGAAGCTCAGTGCAACAATGGGATGAATATCATTTTATTTTGTTAGTTAGCAGCATTTTTCCCCATCATGGGGGGATTTCTGGTATCTTTTAATAAATGCTTGAGCCACGAGCCACACATTTTTTTTGTAACTGGTCTTTAAGTTAATCCTGCACGACACAAAAATCTGCTTATTATACAGCCAGAAACAACGGGAAATGTACAGGTTTCTGTCAAACAAGGCGCTTTTAAAGCCCCGGGCAGTTTATACTGCATAGCACAAGGATTTTTCTCCCTGTTATTGTTTCATAAACTCTTTATACGCCAATATGACCCTTTTGTAAAATAAAAAACAAAAAACAAATAGCACTCTGTAACAACATGCACTACTGTAATCAGTTCTAAAATATTAACACAAAAACAAATTCACAAAAATAATGTATAAATAAATAACCAGATAAAATCTGATGTTTGGACAGTTTTATTTTACTGAAGCTCTCTCTAGGGGACAAAAGTCATTTTTTGTATATAAACCTAAGACATGTAAATATATAACTTATATATGACTAGTCACGTAATTGTTTAGTGAAATTAATGATAAATAATGTAGAAAATAGCGAAAATGACGCGAAATCAGTAATTAAAGGAGTTCGGTTCGAGTGAAACGGCAGAAGTAGTTCCGGTCCTGTTCTGGCTGCTCGAAGGTGGAGGAGGCGTCGGTAGTACAGTAGCGGCGCGGAGCTGTGAGGTTTGAGCCGTCTTTGAAGTTGGGAGGCAGAGACCGCTCTGCTCCAACGCGCGAGCCCACGCACGCGCAGACACACAAACCGGCGAGGAGCGACTCACAAAGAGAGAGAGAGCGCGCGCGCGAGAGAGCGAGAGAGCTCCGGTTATTCCTCCGGGCTCCGGCCGAGCCTGTGTGGTCTCTCCGCTCTGTTGCTAAGGAAATGGATGGCTCGAACGGCTCCGCGGTCCGGGATGAATCGTGCTCCTCGCCCCCTCAGAAGCCTGCCGTGTTTACCGGAATCACTGCGAACACCGTGACGCGCCAGCTCTGCACCAGCCGGGGTAAGAGATCATTCCCACAGCGCTGCTTTCTTTCAGACTGGACCGGGAAACAAAACGGAAACAAGTGGCCCGCGTTTACTGTTCATTACAAGCTGGAACGAGCCGTGAATGAGAAAAACCGTTATGTCAGGAGGTCCGACTAAAAAATGTGAATAAAAAAAATAAAAAATAAAAAAATAAAATAGTAATATAGAGAAAAAAAAGCTTTATTTTCAAAGTTTATTTCTGCGACCGAGTAAATAATAACTGGTGTTCCAGCTTTAGATGAGGCTGTGCAAGTCTTTAAAGGCTAGTCTCAGTTTGTTCGGTAAACAGCGCTGAAATCAAAGTGGTAGAAAATACAGTCGACTGTGTGAGTGGAGTGAAGGCACTGCAGCTCAGAGTCCACATACTGTGACTACTGAGCATGGCAAATACCTCAAACACAAACTCATCTTCCTCACAGACAGTAGCTCTGTAAAAGCAGAGGAGTAGAGCACACATGCACAACGACCGGCGGTGTTTTGCTTACCTACAGTGAGCCTGAGCCAGCTCTTAGCGCCAGTGCTTGATGCTGTCCTTTGTTTCCAGCCAAAAAAAAAAAGAAAAAAGTCTGCGCTTGTGTGAGGTGAATGAGATGTGAATTTCTCATTTCCGTCTCTCTCCTCCAGCCCAGTGGAGCTGCAGCTGAGGAGCCGGGGAACTGGGGGATTCTGACTGGCAGCTGGTGCACCACCAAAGGAGGGGAGGGAGGCGGCGGGGGTCCACGAGCAGCGGTGCCGGAGCGGGGTGAATGCTGCCCGGAGACGACAACGGCTGAGGCGGCAGCGGCGTCGACTTGAAAAGCAGCATGGCATCCACGGGCATGCAGATATTTGGATTTGTCCTAGCTCTGCTGGGCATCATGGGCGCCATGGTGGCCACTCTGCTGCCTAACTGGAAGGTGAGCGCAGATGTGGGCTCCAACATCATCACAGCTATCTCCCAGATGCAGGGACTGTGGATGGACTGCACATGGTACAGCACAGGCATGTTTAGTTGCACACTTAAGTATTCAGTGCTTTCACTACCCGCATACTTGCAGACTGCTCGCACCACTATGGTGCTGTGCTGCGTACTGGCTGCCATGGGCCTTTGCCTCGCCTCCCTGGGACTAAAATGCACGCGCTGGGGAGGTGGACGGCGCTCCAAGCGACACGCCGCCATCGCCAGTGGCGGCTGCTTCGTCGCTGCAGGCTTTCTGTGTCTGGTGCCTGCGTCTTGGTTTACCAACGAGGTCATCACCAACTTCCTGGATTCCAGCGTTCCCGAGAGCAATAAGTTTGAGCCTGGAGGTGCCGTGTACGTTGCCTTTGTTTCCGCAGGTTTCCTCTTTGTGGGGGGGTCCATTTTCTGTATGTCCTGCTCGGGAAAGAGACACGGACCCCAGGATCTGGTCCTGCTGCCCCCCCCTGACAAATTGCTTCTCCAGCAGCAGCAACAACAGCTGCTTCAGCAGCAGCAGGAGCTCCAGCACCAGTACTGCTCTCTCTCCCCATTAGACAATAAGACGGGCTACAGCCTGCAGGACTACGTGTAATAACGCAGTGCTGTGCACGCCAAAGGGAGACGAGCCCGAGGGGAAACATCACGGCTACGCACTAGGATCTACTCAAGGATGGAGTTGGAGGGGGAAAAAAAAAAAGAGAGGAGAGCAACAACTTTGAAATCACATTTTTCCTTCTGCTCCATCTTCTTTTTTCTGTTTTGCAAGCACAAGCAGTCGAGGTATTCCCTGAGCAGCGCCTTGGAACAAACGGCGTGAATGTGCAAGGAGCCAGGATACCGGGATAAGGTGCTGCAGAACTGACGGAAGCTGCCAACCAAACGCAGACATCCTTCATCAGTAAATCACACAGAGTTCCCTGCGGAATGAATTAAGCAAATAAGGAAGCCTTGAGTGGAGTTTTTTTTTCCTCGCCAAAGGTTTAAATTGAAGGAAAAAACATACGATTATTTAGCTGCTATTTACAATCGTTCAGTCCTTCCTCTCATTTGATAAAACAGGCAATATAAAGCCCAAGAGCAGTAGGTGGAAACCCTCACATAGCAAGCCATTGTAGTTTATCCTATGCTTGTCCACTAGAATGCAACATGGAATTGACTAATGAAATAAATGGGCATATTTTTGTTAGCTACTAGAATGACGTTGATAGTTTGCCTCTAAAGCATGCTGTGTGGAGCCTGTGTACAAATACAGCGGAATGCCTGGTAGAAGACTGAGACATAGCCACACAATGCCTGTGCCTGAAAAGCTGTAGAAACATTACCCTGCTGTAACTGTTCAAAGAGGACTGTCAGGAGGAGTAGATGTGGGCTGCTGGGCTGGATTTAAGAGAGAAAATGCAGGCAAACAGATGCCTGCGTCTCTCTCTGCAGGTGGAAATATGAGAGAGATGGAGAGAAATTGAAAAGAGCGTGATCCAATACTTCAGCAGCAGAGTGGACCATCTCATATTTCCATCCAAACAAAAACAGTCTGCCTGTAAGTAGCAGCTACCCATCTCGATCCATCCCAGACGATCACGCCCACACATTTACACATGCGCTTGTGCGTCTTCTCGTATGCAGTAAACACTCCGACACGCCGGCTTTTTGCATGTGCTTTTCTCTCCTGTCATCCACCTCCACACTGCCATGGAAACCGAATTCAAGCATTGTCTGGGGGTATGTGCGTGTCAATCAGTCAAGTTGTTTTATTTTGAGTGGGCGGGTGGGTAGGGGGCATCTTTTTCTCTTGCCATGGCATGCCATAAGCTTTCATCAGAGCCTCTGCTCACACTACTTTCACTAATCCCCTTTATTAACCAGTGACATGAAGCAGAAGCCCTGGTCGGGGGGGGGGGGCTGGAAAATGGCTCTTCTTTGTAACACACCCCTATATGGTGTCTATGCCGTGCATGCGGTCTCACATGGATGAACAGATGTTTAATGGTGCAGTGGCACAGAGGAAAAAACAAAGCAGATAAGAGGAGGAATCCTGAGTCACAGCCAACTGGGTAGTCGTGTGGCAAGAGGCTAAAAATGATTTGAGTCATTCTCCATATGCGACTTGTTTTTCAAGTACGTCAGCAATGCGCATACACTACCAGCCTGCACCTGCAGAAGGGTCTCAGTGTCTTAAATTTCATCCACCAGACTGTCCTCGTTTACCTACCAGTCGCCCTCGTCTTTTTTTACTCCATCTCCCCGTCCTGCTTGTGTCAGGATATGATTCCTGACAAGAGAACACTGATGCATGTTGAAAGCATGTCCTTCTGAGACGCACACAAACACGCACTCGTGTCAGTTTTGCAGCTACGCTTTCACAGTTACCGTGCGCTCTATTTTCTGAGGTAAGAAGATGGGAGGAATATTGTTTTTGTGCTTGAGACAGGCCTTGGCAGTGATGTATAGAACTGCACATTCTCTCCTTCTCTCTCATAAGAATGCAGCTTCCTGGGGGAGAGCAGATGGCTAAGCCCAGCTCGCCACCTGCAGGCTGCTGCCGGCACACCACGGGATTCGCTGTGGGAGCTGCCGGTGGCCCCGCGGGGTTGTTTTTTTTGCCCCGCCCCGGTTTAGCCCTCTTGCCCAGCTCAGACTGCTCCCAAAGGAACTGGCCTCCTGACAACGACTCACTGCCCAGGCACCATTACCAATGCAATAAACAAAGTAAAGAATGTGCCAAGTCATCAAGTAATACTGACACGTTATGTGTTTTGAGAATGTGCCAAATGGTCTCATGATGACACGTTTTAATAATATCTGAAGTTCTTTTTGTTTATTTTTTTAACAACTTGTTTGTACATGAATTCTACATTAGCAAATGTTTTATGGATTTGTGATTCGTCCAAATCAGCTGGATGCTTGTGTACAGTCCGGTGCGGCTTTCGAGGGTTATTTTAAATCCTCTTTATTCCTCATTTCCCAAAGCACAGCGAGACGAAACAGGAGGAAGACGAGTGAAAAGTAAATAACGCTTGTTTCAGGAATTCCGGTTTACTGCAGGTCTGTGACAACTGTACACAAGCGTCTAGATTTTTAATACGTTTAGGTTTCCTACTGAAGGATCGGGATTCCTTCACACCGGTTCAGTATAAGATACACCACGCTCATATCATATCTTCTTTATAAGAAGACTAGTCAGTGCACGTTTACGTTATTTGACAGCAGTTCGGTTCAAATGGCTGAGCATTCAACCTCTCTGGACCAGGACAAGTACATCACACAACTGGCACTCTGGAAAAAAGGGAAAGTCTTTTGGTCTGATATGATTATGCAGGGAAAAAAATTAGCTAAAAATCTCTCTTTTTTGTGGCTGTGCAGCTTGATCATCAGCACGTGATTTCATTAGCTTATAAATGGCCAGAGTGCAAAGTGACTAGGTCCTAAAAAGAGTTAAGCTCTCCTGCGTATCCTGTACCAAGACGTTGATTTATGGTTTTGATAACTGCAGCTTATTTTTGTGGATGCTTTAGCACTTCTTACTTTGCCAGAGCATATTTGTGATGATAAACAGTTCACAAGTTCTGATACAGTTGTCTCAATGTGCTTGTGCAAGTAGTTCTATTTTTTACCAATAAAACTATTTTGTGAAAGCAGCGCGCCTGCTGGATGTTGTGTGCTTTTATGTGTGTGGCCGATGGGGACGGCGATAGCATTCATCTTCCTGCCAAATGTACAGATTGCTGGATGGTACAGGCTGCGCAGCGTGCAGGAGAGAAGGCAGGCTGCTCGTATGCAGCACCCACCAGTACAGCAGTGCGTCCAACAACAAGAAAAAAAAAAAGAATTCTCTGAAAATGGCACTTAAAGAAAGGGTTTTATAAAGCTGCTCCCAATCTCCTCCAGTTATTTCTTAGTGATAACATGAGCGAATACACGAAGGAAGCAATAACGACACTTCTGGGAGTTGAAGGGAACGCGAGTTATCCAAGTTGGCTGGTTTATCTGGCACAAAGCGACGAGTTTAACGACATGTAAACTCTTCTGCCAACTGGTGGAAAGAAGAACATTTTTTGCCGCCTCTCTTTTTGGTATTTTATCACATTTTTGCTAGAAAAAAAAGGATCCTTAGACCAACTGATCAATCAGATTAACTGAAAATGGACTAGTTTACTCCTCCGCTGCAGACCACACTTCTTTGTCCCAGTTCTTTAATAATTAATCAGTGCTATGAAATGGTATTTACCCCGTTTCTCATTTCTTAATTTGTTGCAGATTTGTCACATTTACACGTTTCAGATCAAACAAATGTTAAAAACGTAATTTCCCTTTAACCTAATAACTGGTTGTGCCACCTTTAATGATAACCAGCAACGAGCCTTTCACATGACTGTGGAGGAATTCGCAGAATTGTTTGCATTCAGCCACACTGGAGGGTTTTCCGGCATGAACTTCCCGTTTCAGGCCACGCCAAAGCGTCTTAACTGCATTTGAACCCAGACTGTGATTATTTCACCCCAAAACGTTCATTTTGTTGTTTCTGAGCCGTTCGGATGCGAGTCAGACTGAGAGAAGTGAGGCCTGCAGTTTTTTAAGTGTTGTTTGGGGTTGTTCTCTGCCGTCCTGGACGGGGCGTCGATGCGCTCGTTCAGTAACTTTGGTAGGCCGGTCACTCCTGGGAAGGTTCAGCTCTATTCCAAGGTTTGTGGATAACATGTGGATAATCCCTCTCACTGTGGTTCACTGGCATCTCAAAGCTTTAGAAATGGATCTTTAACCCTTTCCAGACTGAGAGATGGCAGTGACCTCGTCTCTCACTTGTTTCTCTTTTAGCCTGATTCACTTCACAGATTCTATTTAATGTTATTCAACAGGTTTGGCTATAATCAGGCCTGAAACTGAAGCTTTCTGTGGTTAATTCATGATTTAACAAGGTACCGTAGCAGCTAGGTTTGGATAGCTTTTCCCCTTCATACAACAAACAAACTCTGTGATCTTTGTCTAATATTAAAATTGAAAATGTCTGAAAATGTCTCAGAATTGATGGGAGTTTGGTTCAGATCACAATCCTGCACAGCACGTTCCCTCACGTTCACGCTGGTGTCATATTTAGCCTATACACTTCAGATGGGGTGGTTATTAAATTAGAATCCGGGCTCTCATTACAGCTGATTGGAGTCTCATCAACAGAGGGTGAGTGAAAATATGCTTTCCTGAAACAAACATGGATTATTAAAGCCTCTCTCTCTCCCTGTCTCATTCTTTCCCTGCGTTTGGTTATGCAATACGAGTGCAGATCAAATAACTACTCCTCTCGTGGGGGAACGCTAATAAGATCTGCTCTTCTGTGTATTTAACCTACATTTTTCATCAAAGGCTTTCACCCCGAGTTGCTGCTATGACAGATCTGGAGTGTGAGCTTTAAATGAGGGGAGGTGAGCACTTGTCAGTTGCAGGCAGGGGTTAATCACGCGCTTTTCTTTCAACTCCGAGCTCACATTTGTTTGTTGACCTTCCTGGTCAGCAAAATGTCTTTCCAGAGATCACCAAACAGGAAAAAAAGGAGGAGGAGGCGTGGATGGTAATAAGATGAACAAAAGACTCGGTGCACGTTAGGGAAATGCCATCGCTCACATCCACATTGCTCAAAATTGCACCAACGTGTCACAACCCTTAAAGTGCTGCTCTCTGATTCGGACAGCAGTTATGCTCATGAAGGTTCATACTGGAAATATAATGCGCTCATCAGCGCTGAGGGAGGATGACCTTCCTTTGTCGCTCTCCTCCAGTCCCTGCGCACATGTGAGGCCGGGGAATAACGGCAACGACCTTAGCTGCTCGGTAAATTGCTGACAGAGGCAGTAAAAGCTATGAAGATGACAAAAGGGAAGCTTGTAGGAAAACAATACGCTGTGACAGTTCAAAGGAGGCCCTTTAATATTTTAGCTTTGGAGCGTGCAGACCAACGCGTGCCCGGGAGGATTCGGTAAGCTGAAGGTGAGGGAGGCTAAACGCTTCAAGGGTGCTGAAGGTTTTTGTATTTTTAGATAATCTATATTTCTCCTGACTAAAATGATGATTACTGTAGACAGGCAACAAGGAAAGAAAGAAAAAGAAGCTCCTTTAATCATAAGATGCTGTTCATCACCTCACCAGTGAAACTAGTTAATATAGCCAGTAAATCTTTACCTGGAACTTTAAAATTGGGATCCATCCCACACCTTCAGTCGCCATAAAAAGCCTTAAAGTAAGTCACAAACCGCCGCGTGTGATGTTGAAATTGGACACTCAAGTAAGCCTTCAACTTAATAGCTTATAGATTGATGCCTCCCATCGCGGTGAGGCTTTTCCCCCATGATAAATGTATTGTAATTTGATTTTTCTCATTTGTAGCTGAACTTTCTTTCCTTGGAGGATAGCCGGGTTTTTAAAACACCGCACCCCCTCCGCTGCGTGCTCACTAACCAAACAGAGCTGAATTTGCTAAACTCGGCACAGTTACTTGTTAGGAGGAGGCAGTGGCTCTCTGGAGATGTTCTTAAGCTAGCTCTGCCAACCTTGGCGTTTTGTTTAAGGTGAGCGGAAATGAAGGAAGAGGAGAAGGAAGAAGCAAGGGAGTATTTTTAGATTTCTTTACCTTGGGTCCGTGATGTATTGAGACCAAGCCTTCGGGCATTTTCTGGGCTGGCACGAGTCATTGAAATAACTTTCCCTGATACTCTTGATACCGCGTTTGACCCCGTTTACGGGATAGGAATAGGCTTAGATGAATTGTGAGAGTGGAGGATGTGTGGCGGGAGGTGAGAAAGCAGCACAGCCCCTCTGAGGAGATTCACTCTTGCTGTAGAGACGGGCAGCGAGGCCACATTACATCACAGAGAAGATATTCATCACCACGGTGGTCCGAGCTGGGTCATGCTCCCCAGTGAACCATCTGTTTCAATTCAAAAGGATAAAATTAATTCAACAGATGAGGAAAAAGTCTCCAAAACTCGGAGCTGTGGAGGAGTACATGTACAGTACCTTTAATTCAAGTCCAATCGCTCTCTGACTACTGCCAGCTACAACCGAAGTTCAATGCGGCATTAACAAATTTAATTTAGCCTCTGCTCATCTGGCCTGTGCTCTTGGTAGACTATTGTGTACAAGGCGAACATCTGTAGGGCGCTCCTCCTGTGAGGCTCGGTTAGTTGGTGGGTGATGGCCATTACTCAGAGCAGGGCTGATGACCGGCCCAGACGACCATCTGTTTGGAGGTACGCCTCGCTCTCCTCTCAGATCCATCTCTGTCATGAATCTGTCTTCTGGTGCTCTCTGGGCTTTGTTTCATTTGACAAATCTCATATTCAGACGATAATCTGCTCTCCAACCCTGCTTCCATTTATTCTGGTTTTCATCACCAATATTTCCTTCCATTTTTGCATCATCACCCACCCTTATTCCCTTATTTCTCAGCTCATTTTCTTTTATTCATTCCATTTCCTGTTATGCCCTACCCCATGCCTCAATTTCATTCTCACCTTATTCAGCAAATACCCGAGTTGTTAGCACAACGTGGAGCCCCCGAGGAGCTCTACAGAGGACACAGCAGGTTGTTTGCGACGGAGCAGCTACTGCACGACTTACAGACCCGCCTGCGATGGAAAGAGGTTGATTTTAATCACATTGTACCCAGATGGGGGAGAGGAAAGGGGAAGAGAGATGAGCGAGTCAACGTGTGCTCTTTTCTCTTTTCAAATCAGCTCCTTTGCATGTAAGGAGGCAGTGAGGATGCAGATGCTTGATGTCAGCGTGCACTCAGAAACCCCTTGACCCCTGACCAGAATATGAATTAGAGATGTGTATGAAAGCAAAAGCAAAAACAGAAAGGCAGTTCCTATTTCGGTTTTCTCAGGGAGCCTTCAGATATGTGCATAGCTGTGAGCCCCAGAAGCGATGCAAGCATCACTCAGTCTGTCCATCTATGTGAGAATTAACAGGAGGAGAGCGACTAATAAGGAAGAGGAGGCAGGTGTGATCTGCAGTGGGACGGACCTAGGGCACCCTGAGCCTGGGGGAACACCGTCAAAGCAGCCAATCGCCACTCTCGAAACCCTTCAAGGACAATCTCAGTCACTCAATGTGACACAGCAGAGGCGAGAGGGACAAGACTGGCAAATTAAGCAGCGGGGATAAGAGCCTATCTGCCCACCCCGCGTCAATACGGGCCCCCGCAGCCGCTGATGTAAAATGGATTCAACATTTCCTTTCTCATTATCCCATCAGCCTGCAATACTCGGCCTCCTCTACGTTCAAATCAGCCGGCCAATCAACCCACACTCCCCTCCCCCCTTCGCCTTGAAGTGATGCTATTTTCTCATCGTGGTTATTTGGAAAGGTTCGCTGCTTTTTCAGCGGCTCTCTGGGACTCGCTTCGTTTGATCTCACAGTATTAAACCACTTCACATGTTTTGTTTTTTTACACTTCACTAATTGCCATGTGTGCACAGCACCTGCTACCGTGTAGTTTGTTTTACTGTCCTGTACAAAGCATTAGCATCGCTGCAGAATAATCCCAACAATGATTGGCACACACGTTCGCAAAAAGGCTCACGCAAAGTGAAGAAAGCAAGAAAGATACAGAGACACAGACCTTTGGTACTTGGCAGTCTAACAGCACCAGTATAATTAGTTCCTCTCTACAAAGCCATCGCCATCTTCATAAGGAGCACTGTGACCAGTGTACAGTACTAACACTCTGCACAGCAACCATAACAATTTATGCACGCAGCATTTTTCTTTCTGTATATTCAACATCTACAATATCTCGGTTACTTCTTCTCTTTAGCAGGAAATCTGTCAATATTCCCGTGAGTGGCAACCTCAGTCGGTCCCGCTCCTCTCAGCCTCTCTGTCCTGTAAACCATGGAAGGACATTTTTACTCTTCATGCTTTTCTGCGTAATTACTCTGGTGTGCACCAGTAAACAAAGCAGAGCCACTGAGCTTTTTATGAATTATACTACATGACATACTACTACGATAGACTTCATCTACTCTGTGTGCTCTTGTTCCTGGTCTTTTATAGGACACCAGCAGCAGGAGAGCTGCTCATCAAACAGCCATCAGCTCTCCTAATGACACCAATTTGACCAAGAGCCCATTAAAACATTTAGTAGGAATAGATGGCCCGTGTGGGCATGTGGGAGGCGCGGATTCATCTGCACGCATGTGTAGCATGAAGCTTCCCCTGTTCAAATGT